CAGGAAGCCCCATTGCACGTGATGTGATGGCCACATACCTGCCATACCAAATTACTGACACAGGTGAACCTCTCAGTCAGGCCAGCACCTGCCGGTGAACCCCACGCTGAGTGTCTTTTACTGGGAGTGGAGCCCTTGGCCCCAGGAAATGTCAGGCTGACACCATTAATTGAATTGTATACACGGTAATAACACGGCTAGTGGTCCTGAGCAAGGCCTTGGGTTTGGAAAGACACACACCCAGGCTGGATCCAGTCAAGGTGAGGTGCTGTACCTCCCAGAGTCAAAGGTCTCAGTGAATTTGCCATCAAGTGGTTCCCTGACTCAGTTAAGGAGCCCTGTTGAGGTCACTGCTGGTCTCTTTTGCTCAAAGACTTCAGATTAGGCAGAGGGAGGGCCTCAGTGGGCCTTGGTGGGTGAAAGTACATGAAGTTGGGAGATGCGAGTCATCCAGCCCTGCCACTGTGGCCACTTAATTCATGGACCATCTGGGCAACGCTGGAGTCACTGGCTGCAGAGGATGACTGTTGTCCACTGGCTAATTCCGTGCATGTGACTGTCAGTGGAATTGCACAGGAAGAGCACTCTAAAGATGCTGAGATATAATGCACAGGTCTTCTCACCAAGGCCAGACGACACACTCATAAATCACCCACTTGCTGGTGACAGGTGCTGCCTGCAGGGAGAAAGAATCATGACGGTGAATTTTATTACCTGGTAACACGCTCCCAATTGTCACATGACCCTTTAAGATTAAACAAGAAATGTTCCACAGGTGGCCAATGTCTGAGCAGGGGCATAATCAAAGACACTCTCAGTGGTGCACACAGGCAGGGCCCACCTCCCACACAGGCTTCCATCCAATCACTGCACCAGGCCCTCTCACAGGGGACTGGGGAACAGTCTTGTGTGTGATTCTCTGTCGTATTGGCTGTGGGAGATAAATCATGGTGTGGTTTAAGTCCGTTATCTGCCATGAATGAAGTTTTGTGAGTGGTGAGCAGAAGAATTATAGAAGGAAATTTTGGAAAACTCCTCCACGTATAAGCTTATGCCAAGAGTTTATTAAGACCTCAATGGTAATCACAGCAACAACATAAATTAGCATGTGGGTCTTGATTAACCCACACTAAGGTCCCTTGCAGGGATTCCTTGGTCACAAAGAATGCAGCATGTGCTGGCACTACAGAGAGCTGTGGCATTTGGGTCTGTAATCAGGGGTAGAGGTGAGATTAATTCCTGTCAACACACTGTGGTGACAACTTCTGAAATCTTTCTTCTTACTGCCACACTGTTAGGCAGTCATTGGTTAGATGTCCTGGTTCCCAGGGGGGATCATGCCTACTGGGTCACAGTGTGCTCCCCTGAATGTGAGACCTGGTCTGATGCCCCTCAATTGGGGTCCTCATGACTGTGGACCAGTCAACAGTGAAAGGCACTCTCCCACTGATATGCATTAACTCTGCTTTGAGGCTGAACTTGGGTGTATCCATGGAGGCAGGGGCAGTCCCTCAGTCCTAGGCAGTGTCTGTGGGTTTCTCCACTGCATTCACCAATGGGGAGGTCAATTGCAAAACCACATGACTGAGGTTGGCCATGTGACCAAGGACAATGGCTCTGCAGTGCTCAGGCCGGAGTCACTCCATCAGGGAACACACGGCAACCCTCACTGGAAAGTGCTGGCCGTGAGTGAGAAGAATCCACGGTGGAGGTGGAGGGGACACTAGTGAATGTCAAGTGTGACCACAGGCCCACCTGCAGCAGTGGACAGTGGAGCCTGAGCAGTCACACTGACATTGTGACTTCCACAGAGATTAGGGCTGGCTACTGTCCCAAGCATGTGGCAGCCCCATAGACTGAACCTCGGCCTGTGTGGACCTGCCTGGCAAGACGGAAATGTAAGGACGAACTTCAGTGGATTCCTGCTTGGCCCCACTCTTGCGCCCTGGGCCCAACACAGAGGAAGCAGCAGTTGCGTTAGACAATTTTCACAAAGCTGAATCCCCTCAGGTGAGTGAGGTGCACATCACAGATTCTGCACAACATTGTGGGGAGGTAGTGAGGACCTGAGGCCCAAAGGTTGCTGCAACCCTGAAGCTGTAACACTAGAAGGCAGAAAAATCCCATCATGTTCTCATTACTGAAAGGGGATACTGCAGACCCCAGGAGGCATGTCCACATCGGTCCTGAAGTTGGTTCAGAGAAGCAGTGGGGTGCAGTGGTGAGAAGCACAGGCCCAGATGCTGTGGATACCTCTCAGCAGATACGGGCCTCCTCTTAGGCACATTGCACAACTCCTCGATGCT